TATATATATTATTTAATTATTTTCCAGTTGATATTGCATGTAACTTAAAAGTGAAACTTTCACTCTCATAATCACACATTTTCAATGTTTTATCTCTTTTGAAAATACTTTTCACATACCAATTTTATAAATAATCTATTTTTTTATTTCAATTTGGTAGGAAATTTAAAATTTTAATTAAATTTTTTGATATTATAATTATTTTGATTGGACAATTTAATTTAAATTTCTTAATTTTGATAAGACAATTTATTTTTCATGCAATTTTTTAATATATTTTTAAAAAATTGAAATTTCAATATTGAGTTTCATAAAAATAAACATTAGCCAAAATGTAAATATTTAATAATTTAAAATTAACAAAAATAATATTTATTAGTTTAAAAATAAATTTAAATATTTATAATTTAAAAGAATAAAATCGATAAATTTTATGTTAATATTAATAGATGAAAGAAAGAATAGAAAGAAGAAAAAGAAAAAAAAAGTGGAAGAGATGAAAGAGAAAGAGAAAGAGAAAAACAAGAGAAGAAAGAGACTAAGAGACAGGGAAGAAATAGAGGCAGAGAAAGGGAGAAATCAATATAGAGGAGAAAAAAAAACAGAGAAAAAAGAGAGATCAACTAGAAAGACAATATAGGAGATGACGAGAAAAAAAAAATTAAAAATCTCAAGATTTTTGTGAAATGATTGGATGAGTTTATTATATCAAGTACAACTTCTAAAAATATTTCACAAAATAAAAATATACCAAAATTTGTATGTTTTTAATTATTAAAAGATTATTTTTAAATAAAAAAGTTTCAATCAAATATCACCAAATTTAAACATATTCTTATAAAAAAATCTCAATTGGGTTCATTAAATATTTAAAAAATCACAAATATTTGAATGTTATGAATAATAATTAGTGGCTTAATTAGTGGATGCCAATATTCATTATCAATCATTACCATTTATATGTCCGTTATGTATTATTCTCTTTATTGTATAATTGTTCAGTTACCACATGTACTTATAAATAGGTTACTCCTCTTCCAAAGATAATACACCAATTAGATTCTTTTCTCTATCTCATATTGTCTCATTTCTTCTCTATACTTTTTCTTGCTTTTATAACAAATTTTAATTTTTTTTTATACATTTTTCACCCAAACAAAAACATTTCAAATTCAAAAAATAAAAAATGAATTAATTTCTCAAAGCCATTCGTCTAAACACACTTTTAGAATTGTTCCTTTGTTTTGTGTACTAAATCTGATGCACTGGCTGAATAAACTCTATCCTAAAAGATTCCCCATCATCTCCATAGACACCATTGCATAAAGATTGGTCCCATTCCAACAACAAAAACACTCTTAAATCACGCCCATACCTAAATACTTGCCATCCAGCCAAACATAAAAAATAATCTCATTCATCTTAATTATTTTTAAATTAAATATAAACTTTCTCATTTACTCTTATTTAAATTAAATTCACTATAAGTTTCTTAAAGAAAGAAAGAGTCATTTGCACATTTTACACGAGGAATCAACAAAAACATTGGATGAAAATTTTATTTTGCTAGCTGATAAGAAACTTGAGCTACAACATTGGAAGCAAATGATCAATAGAAGAATGTATACATCTCTCACTCGGTCACGACTTGGGCATTTGTTGTTGCTGCACAACAAGAATGAAAGCATTAGTTTTGGTATCTGAGGAAGCAAGCAAATCTCCAATGACACCTAACTCAGGAAACTCAGTCCAATTCTCAAGTGTTGTAGTTTGAGGCGATTTGATCCCATTTCGTCTACCAACTATGAAAAAATCATGTTGGTTCGCAACCTTAGAGACAAAATCAGCGGTCTCAGAAGGGTCCTGAATAGTGATCTTTTTATAAGTCACATTCTTAATACTCCCATAGTACCCCTTAACACTCTTCAGCACCTCATCATCCAACATCATGTCCCAGTGTGACTCACTTTGACTCGAAGCCAAGTGGTACACAAACAAGTTATAAGCACAATCTTTAATGGCCCTCTTAGCCAAGAACAATGCCTCTCTATCATCGGGACCCCCCAAAAAAATCAAGCCTATTTGCTTTATGCAAGCATTGGAAGAACTTGATCGATTCACCAGAATCCCCACGGAACATGGGGCCCTTTCCAAAACTTTAGAGTTCAAAGTCCTAACATTGTCATCCATGGATTCGATGGAACCACCCTCATTCCATCTCACGTGAAATGGAAGAAGGATGATGCAAGCGAGTTTATCCAATGCAAGGTAACATATGTCATCATGCATGAAGCGTAAGGGAGATATGGCTGTGTAGGTGCTAATTGATGTAGTTCCGGCATTGTCATGTTCAAAGAGGTTGAAGGTGACAATGACATCTTCAGAGTAGTTGTAACCTGAATCAACACTTTCTTGGAGACGGTGTGAGATGAAGATGGGTGAGAATCTGCCAACTAACTCCATGAGGTGCAAGATGTGAACCACCATAGGGTTGCTTGTTGTGGGGCAAAATATGTCAAGGGCATTTCTTATGGACAATATGTGGCTTGGTTTGTGGATGCATGCCACCATCCGAAGCTCTGAGTTGGGTTTCAAGTTGAGTATGTTCCTTTTTTGATACCCCACATATTTCCTTGATGGGTCGTATAAGGCTTTCACCCCAATGCGTGCAATGCTTCCCAACACCAACACTGATATAGCCATCATAGACATAGTTTCGTTGCTCATTAACTGCATAAATTGCACATCACATGATGAGGACCAAACAAAAAAGCTTATATGCATACATTAACTAATTAATGTATGCAATAACAATGTATACATTATAATTAGAGTTTCATCTCAGTAATACACAGTAAAAATATCTTTAAATATTGATGTATATTACTAAAGTAAAACTTTAATTAAGACCTGAAAGTAACATTATCTAAGTTTTTTTCATTAGTTCTTTTATCTCATTCTTCTCTTTTCTTCTTATTTTTACATCTCTTTATTATTGTATAAAAAATTGTGCAAATGTAGAATTTACAAGTAACTTTTCTAAAAATAAGTGATATGTGAACAAAAATATATTTTTTTAAAAGGCTTGGTGATAAGCACATTATGCATGGCTAAAGGAATATATGGAATAGAGTGTTACCATTGAATCAAAGAGGAACACGTGTGTGCAAAAGTCCACGACACCTCTACTGCTCAACAAGAGAGCGAGACAAAAACCGTCTGTTTTGGGCATGTGGCAATAATGGCAAACTATAATGGTTATGAGCATCTTAAGCAAATGCATAAAAACAATTATAGTGGCCACAATGAGAATCAAGGTGCCATTAATGTGCACCAAAATATCCACCTTCATTGCACAACATGTGACAAAGATAGGACAAAGGAACCACGTGTTGAATAACTCAAATTGCTTAATCAATTCAGACCCTAACGGAGGACCTTCTGGCACAAGAAGACCAAGGAGTAACACCCCACCTAACACAGGTTGGTTTGCAAATAATCCAAGCAAACCAGCAGCAAGGGCCATGAGGATCACCACATAAGTGTATGCTTTCTTCACAGGTCTACCTTCAGGTGTGATCCTCACAATCTTTCTCATTGCGGGACGTGCAAGCATAATCACAATTGATAAAAAACCAATGTATTTTAGGATAGTGTAAAGGGCAAGTTTAGGGCCCTTGCCTAGCTCATGATCATGAGAATCGGTTCTTAGGCTGCTCATAATAGCAGTGCCTAGACCTGTTGTAACTTGGCTTATTACATCCATAACAAGGGATGATGAGAGTGCTAAGCGTCCAAGTTCTGAGTTCAAAATCTCAAGATCAGAGAGAAGAGAAACTATCACAGGAAAGGAACAACCACTGTGATTTATTACTACCACAGGGAGTTTTCCTCCATTGAACTCTCCAAGGGCTTTTTGAAAGTCCCCCATGAATCTGTAGCATAGGCTGAGACCAACTACTGTTGGAATCAACAGGGAGGAAAGAGCTATTGTCCAAGCTTTCCTTCCGGTTCTAGTTATCATGCTGAAATCCGTTTGCACTGTAGTTAGAAACAAGAACATTGTGTAGCCCATTCCTGATATTAGGCTCAACACGTCTTCACTCCCGTCAGGGAACAACATGGTTTTATATGGCATCAATGCCCCTATCTTTAGAGATGGACCTAAGACAAACCCAGTCTGCAATTGGAGACATATATATATATATATATATAATATTAATGTTTTTCATATGTAAACAAACTACAAGAAGACTGAAAATCATTACTGCAAATGGTTTCACACTTTTGTTTCTTATCTAATTAATGATTGATTCCTAACTTAGACATTAGATTGTAACTGAGTATCATTTTCTCATTAAATGAGCTGACCTTGTAGCAGAAAGTTATACCTACTATATATAAATAAATAAAAAGGAACAACAACTATATATTTATATATCACACTTGATGTTTGGTTATAAATCATTGATATAATTTCTTAAGCGTTTTTAGTGTTGTCTTGGATTAAAAATATAGTTTTATATAAATAATTTGTATAATAAACATTTAAATTATAGGTTTTCAACTAAAACTCTATTTATGATATAAAAAAAAAGTCACATAAAAATTCTTTAAAAAAATTACATTTAAATTTTGTCCTTAAAATACCCTCGTGAAAGTACTTTAAGACGATTTTCTTATACCATTTTGTGGACGATATTAATGATGTACCCAACCTTTCATCTAATGTATTTATTCCAAAGTTCAATTCTACGTTGCCATATGTATTAGTATGGATTGATCTATTGGTTTCCCTTAAAATCACACACACAAACATAAGACAATATTAGAAAATTGTGTTTCTGTATGTAAGATGATGTGCAAGTGCAACAAAATGTCACGTGACATGTTTTTGAATGAGACTAGAACCAAACAGAGGAGAGGGGACAAAACATGTACCATGACTTGTGAAACGAAATAAGGGAACCCCAAGTGCTTGAGTATCGTATGAAAGCATTGCGTGATGACGAAAATGGTGATAATTTGTAATTGCAACAGTGGCATTGTGGATTTATGTGGTAATGCGCCATAGGTTGGGTCACCCCACATGCCATCAGATACTATCTTGGGTGGCATTTCAATGGAAACATTAAAGAGAACAAATTTTCTGTCTGGGTCTGAATTGTACTCGTCCAACACTGCTGCATTGAAAATTGTATTGTTTATTGTGCTTATTAGGGGGTTATATGATGTCCCCATGATAATCTTTATGATCAGATCAGAATCACAAATGAGTTATTCATTGGCTCGAGTCTTTTTAATGTGGTCACATTTGGCGTAAGTTGTGACAGGCTTAGTTTCTTAGCATCATCCGAAGATTATGTTGACCATGATAACGGATTTTTCGTAGATATAGCTTGTTTCAGCTGTACCTGAAACAATAAATACAACAAAGCATTGTAAGTTATTTAACTGCTATGTCACACCTAATGTTGTTTACGTGTCATTATATGTATTATATAACTAACTATCATTGATGGACTTTTACATTTAATGTGCAAGTTTTTTTTTTTTTTTTTTTAATACGTGAAGGGTTCATTTTATTTTATAATAAAATTATTTGGATTATTTTAAAAAAAAATTGTTGTTGAAGAGATTGGAACGTTTTTCATTTGCATAATATTCTCACAATAGTATTAGAAAATTCGATGATTTGAAAAATAATTATTATAAGACATCACAAAAATATTTAAAATTGTGAATTAAATAAAATTTTAATCATATATTTTTCTACTCCAAATTTTAGGGTTTTTTTTTTGTTGACAATTTGCTTTCTCAAATTATAAAATTTTACAATTTTTGTATTTAAGTAGTTAAATTAGTTAGATATCTAAACGTGGAACTTGAAATTATTAAGGTTAAAACCCTATTTTGGTCCCTTATAATCTTTTTTGTTTCAATTTAGTCCCTCATTAATTTTTGGTCTCAATTTGGTCTCAAATTAATTAATTGGTTTCAATTTAGTCCTAAATTAATTAATTGGTTTCAATGTGGGACTTTCCGTCCAAATTGTTTTAACGGTGTTAACTTTTGGCCACGTGGACACCACGTAGATGCATACGTGGCATCCACGTGGATGAGAATTTTTTTGAAAACACCTGGACCCAGAACGGCCCGTTCTGAAACCGGAACAGGCCGTTCTGGTTGCAAAATTAAAACACCACCAGTGAAGCAGAACGG